GAAGGACTGCTCTAGGTGTATCCACCATTCTCAGGGTAAAAGAAAAAAGGCTTTTCAAACTAATTTTTTGCTGCTTCCACACCAGCTATTTTTCCCTTTCCTAAAGAGCTCATAACCAGTGCTGGCAGATTCCTCTCTGCTAAAAAATGGGTGCCCTTAACACAAATTTTGAAGCAAAGATGCATTTTCAGAGTGTCTCACTAATCACAGTGGCTGGCTACAAAGAACAGAGGAGCAGTGCTCTAATAACAACCCTGGGCATTATCACTGCAGTGAGAGATGCACAGTGTGAGGATGGGGACAGAAATAGCTCTGAGCATCATCACATGAGCACTCTTGATCAGGTCAGCCCTGTCAGCTGCAGCACAGCACTGCAAGGGCTGCATCAGCAACAAAGCAAGGCACGAAAAAAAGAAAAAAAAATATATATAATAGTCCACATTAAAAGAATGGGGTTTCTTTGAAGTTGTAGGCAGTTTACACAAAAAAAAAGGTTAATTTCCCTTCAAATACAGTAACCTTCACTAACAGGCTCCAAGCAAAAGAACTTTGAAGTTATAGTTTACACAAGGGATTTCAAGCACAAAATTTTCTGGTCCCACCACTGCTGCCTCCCCACTCCGATTTTGTCTCTGCCCCTACACTGTTGTTAACAAAATAAACCATAGTGATGGGGCAAAACAGGTTTTTGAACTAGATCAGGGATGGATCAGGCTGGAAAATAACCATCCAGAAGGCGCCCAGGGGTACAGGTCCCAGCTGCACCTGCACAGGTACACACCTCCTCCCAGGAGAAGGCCCTGGCCCAGGTCAGTGTGGGCTGCCTGCCTTCAAGGGGCACCTTTGTCCTGTGCTCACACTTCCCTCTCCTCCTTCATGCTGGAACAGGCTGCAAAGCGGGCAGGAATCACCAAACCCAGCCAGGAACCTGCCCCTGCCTTTAAAAACCCAAAAGTCACCCGACCTGCAGGTGCTGAATAAACTCCTGGACGTGCCAGCACAAACCATCAGCCCACAGAAAGGTTATCTCCCATTTCCTTCTCCAGACCTTTATCCTGAAACAGCCTAACAGAGCACTTGGTTTGACGGATGGGTTTACATTTGTCCATATTATTTCCTGAAGTTGCTGTTGCTTCTCAACAACTCGAAGATGACTTGGGATCACAGAATCACAGAATATCCTGAGTTGGAAGAAACCCACAAGGACCATCAGTCCAACTCCTGTCCCTCCTGGAGCTCTGGCAGCCTTGGGGCTGTGCCCACTGCCCTGGGGAGCCTGGTCAGTGCCCAAACACCCTCTGGGGGAAGAACCTTTCCCTGAGACCCAACCTGACCCTGCCCTGGCACAGCTCCAGCCATTGCCTCATGTCCTGTCACTGGCCACCAGAGAGAAGGGATCAGCGCCTGTCCCTCCAGATCATGGAGTGTTGACTTGTTCTTTCCCTGGCACTGGGCTCAGCCTACGACAAAAGTGCTCAGAGATCTGAACTGGCAGAAAACTACTCACTTCTTCCATCTGTAAAGTTTTCTGCTGCTTTACCTGCCTGACCTTGCTCGTCCCAACCCCTGTTCCAAGCGGAGCAAGGAGCAGCGAGCCCCTCTGCTCCTCAGTGAGCTGGTTATGTCCTGCTGCTCCTCAGCTGCTTCAGGGAAACACGGACACGCCAACCTGCGCCACAGGCACACAAACCAGGGAATGGTAGTTTCTTACAGTCAGTTTTATCTCCTAAAAAAACAATATCCTGCAACTAGAGTGTCAGTTGTTTGCCTTTCTCACTCCAGCCACGTCAGCACTCCAGGACAGGTCAAGCAGGTTGCATCGGTGCTTTTTGGGTTTGGGATTATATTTTCTAAAACCAGCATTTTTGTAACAGTAACAAATCCATTTATACAAACAGTGGTGAGAAAAAAAAACCCCAAATGACAAAACCCCTGGGCAGTGAGGGAAGTACAGCCAAGCCAAGCTCTCTGAACACCAGTGACTGCAAGTTGCATCAGCAGTGAAGACATCAGTGTGCACTGCAGAGAGAGGGAAGAGACAGGCCAGCACTGAGGAGATGCACAGCAGGAGCACAGGGAAAGCCAGGAACTAGCTGGGATGGCAAGGACTGCTCTATGCCCACTGACAGACACCACACAGGAGGCTGGCAGCAGGAAGGGAAGGGGAACACTAGTCAGCAGTGGTGATGCTGCACAGACAGGGTAAGCACAGCAGTCTTGGAAACTGCTGTCCTGGTTTACCCATGAGACAGGGACAGGACAGAAAGCAAAAACTACCCTTTACACGACAATTCCAGCCCGGTTTGGCATACCTGTTCCCTGGGATGACACAGGCAAGGCAATCAGTGTGAGAGAGGGAAAAGAGACTAAAACCATGAGAATCTGCCCTTCACTGCTGCTCGTGGCCACCCTGAGACTGCAGCCAGAGGCATCCCAGGATTTCCTGTCCTCCCCCAAGCTCAGCCGGCTAAACTCGACCTTCCAACCAAACGAGGTGCATCTTTAAGGTAATAACCCTAACATCAACCACCACACAGAACCCTGCTGGGAAAAACCCCCAAACAACCCAAACACCAGCAAACAGAAGCATCCCTACACTAACAGTTAGTTATGGATGAATTATCAGACTTCATTTAATTCATTAAGAACAAAATTCCCACTAATTTACTAAAATAAGGCCTTCCTTCAGAAAGTGGCTATTTTTCAGCATATGCTCAACCCCAAGCACTTCTCACTTCTACCTCTGTGCACAATATCATGTTGGAAGAACAAAAATATTTTTAGTTTCCCTTTTCCTTCCTCCCAGAAGGAGATGTTCATAAAAGGGCTCCTTAAAAAGAGGCAAAGCTTTTGGCTTGTTGGGGTTTGTTTTAGAGTAATCTTGTCCATGGCCACTAAACTAGGAAGAGGAAAAAAACAATCCCTCCAAAGTGCTTAGGTCAGCCAAGATAATGACAAGGCAGGTTTCCCACAGTCTTAAGGCCAGAGAAATCTGGAAGTTCAGTGCATGTTGCAGTGGAGTCTGCCAGACTCTGGGCAGGCTGTGCTTTCCCACAGACAGGGGACAAATCAAGACTGTTCCAAAACACCATTCCATCTGAACAGAGGGGTCCAGGCTCGGGGAAGAAGCATCCTGAGGAAGATATAACTACTGCTATAAGGAAGAAATTCTTAGCTGGGAGGGTGGGGAGGCCCTGGCACAGGTTGCCCAGAGAAGCTGTGGCTGCCCCAGCCCTGGGAGTGTTCAAGGTCAGGCTGGATGGGGCTTGGAGCAACCTGGGCTAGTGGAAGGTGTCCCTGCCCATGGCAGGGGGTGGCACTGGATGGGCTTGAAGGTCCCTTCCAACCCAAACCTTCCTACGATTCTATGGTCTAGTGGAAGGTGTCCCTGCCGATGGAATCTTTAAGGTCCCTTCCAACCCACCCCATTCCACGGTTCTACCCCCACCCCATCCCGCCCCAGCGCACACGGGCCGGCAGTGCCCGGGCAGTACCTGACAGGGTCACAATCCCCCGGGGCTGCGGCTGGAGCCGCAGGTACTTGTTGCAGAAGGAGGCGGACTCGAGGGCGAGGAAGAGGACGTTTCCCAGGAAGTACCCGGCCGTCTGCCCCACGGAGTTGCAGGTGGAGGCGTAGCCCACGTTCTCCCTGGACAGCATGGTGAGCGCCCAGCCGTCCACCGCGATGTCCTGCGTGGCCGCCAGGAACTCGAAGAGGAAGAAGGTGACGGTGAGGGCCCGCACGTCGGGGCCGCGGCCCTGCCCGTCGCCCAGCAGCGCGTCCACCTGCGTGGACATGTAGATCATGAAGAGCCCCAGCACGTACTGCGTGGGCACCAGCCACGACTTGCGGCGGCCGAAGCCGCGCAGGTACACGGCGTCCACCAAGGGCGCCCACAGCAGCTTGAGGCTGAAGGGCCAGAACACGAAGCTGAAGAAGGCCTGGTCGGTGTAGCTGGCGCTCTTGCTCTGCAGGATGAGCGGCACGCTGCCCGCCAGCCCCAGCGGGATGCCCTGCAGCACGTACAGCACCAGCAGCAGCAGGATGCTGCCCAGCTCCGCGCGGAACCCCCGCGCCGCGCCCGCCGCGCCCACCAGCGCCTCGGCGTCCGCGGGCAGCGGCTCGCCCGCCGCGGCCAGGCAGTGCTGCCGGGAGCCGGCGCGGCGCTGCCGCCCGCCCTCCTCGGCGGCGATGGCGGGCGCCATGGCCGGGACGGACCCCGGGAGCGGAATCGGGCGGGAGCGGCCCCGGCGCTGCCCCGGCGCCGCCGCGCTGAGGGAACGGCCCCGCCCCCGCGCGCCAGGCGTGGCCGCGTCTCATTGGTGCGTCGAGAGTGACGTTGGGGAGGCCCCGCCCCCTCACCATGAGTGACGGGCCGGGGGTGGGATCGGGATGAGATCGGGAACGGGAATGGGATAGGATAGGGATCGTGGTCGTGGTCGGTGTCGGGGTCCTGCCCCACTCCCCCCGGCCGAGCCCGGCAGCCCGCGGGGGGTCATCGAGCTGTCCCTGCCCAGCAGGGAACCCTGGGGGGTCCAGGGGATCCTGGGGGGGCCTCGGGAAGAGCATCGGCAGCAGGTCAGGGAGGGGATCCTGCCCCTCTGCTCAGCCCTGGGGAGGCACATCTGCAGGGCTGGGCCCAGCTCTGAGCTCCTCAGCGCAGGAGGGACGTGGAGCTCCTGGAGCGGGGCCAGCAAAGCCGACAAAGAGATTTGAGGGACTGTGCAGTGACCGGGCATATCTCCTCAGTCGAAGCACTCGGTCGCTTCCAGCCTGACCCATCACGGGGCCGGGGGAGCGGGGGCGCGGCGGGGGCAGAGGCGGGATGGGGCCGTCCGGCCCCATCCCGCCTCTGCCCCCGCCGCGCCCCCGCTCCCCCGGCCCCTTGTCCCCGCTCCCATCCCGGCCTTATCCCCGCTCCCCTGACCCTGCCACCTCCTCCTCCCTTCCGCCGGCGCGGCGGTGCCGGGGCGCTTCCTCCTCCTCCTCCTCCTCCCTCCCGCGGGCGGCATTAGCATCGCGGCGCGGGGGCCGCGGCTCCGAGCGGCCTTTTCCTTGGCGCTGCCCCGCCGCCCCCATGGCCCTGTGCAACGGGGACACCAAGGTCAGGGCGAGGGGAAGGGAAGGGAAAGGGAAGGGAGGGGGATTTGGGCCCCGGGCGCGGCTCCCGCACATGGAGCTGGAGGGGCCCCCGCGGCCCGGGGTGGCGCGGCCCGGGCGCGGTGGGGTTTGGGGATGGTACTCCCCCCCCCCCCCCCCGGTTTAATTAATGAATTACCCCCAGTCAGGGCTCTGTGGCACCCCAGGGCGGCAGCGCCCGGCTGGGACGGACCCCTCGTTCCCCGGCTTTGGGTTCGGTTTTAATCCGGCAGGACTGGGCTCCCCCCGCGCGTCCTGCGGGGCGGAGGGGATGGAGGGGACGCGTGTCCGGGTGGCTCCTGCATGGGCAGGGGTGACTCGTGAGCCTTTGGGAAATCGGAGCTTTTGTTGGTAATTCAACTTCTGAGCCAAGCCCTGCGAGCTGCCTGGAGCCGCTTCTGTGGCGACGTTAAAACGCTCGTTCTGGGCTTTGCTCGAAAACACGACCCTGAGAGGGTTTTTGGGCGCTCCGTTTTTAGGGCGCTCACTTGGTCCCTGCGTAAGTTTTCTGACACTTATTTCCCTGGCCGTGCATGCAGCCTCCTCTCCTGGCCGGGGCTGCTCCTGGGGGCTCCTCTTCTCCCTGGTTCTGGGCCCTTTATGTAGTTTGCAAGAAGACTGGGATTCTGGAGGGGGTTTTTGAGTGCTCAGTTGGTCTCTGCTCAGGTTTGCAGACACGCTTTTCCCCAGCCGAGGACACAACCTGCTCTCCTGGCTGGGGCTGCTCCCTCCCAGGGATGTGGAGCTCATGGCTCATCCTCCACAACCTGAGCTCTCACAGGAAACACAGATGATGGAGAAAATAACAGTGGTTTCCACGAGGGTTGGGTCTCAGCAGCCCGTGGACACGTGCATGATGCTTCTATCTGTTAAAGCTTCCCTCACATAACGGGCTGGGGGCTCTTGTCTTGGTCTTGGGGATGGCCTGAGTTGGAGGGAGTTACTGTCCTGTTATACTTTGAAATATGAGTGAGTGTTCTTAGACCTGCTTAATTTTAATACCACAGGGAAGCAATTAAACTCTTGTAAAACCTGTGCTGGCTTGAAAGCGCGAGTTCAAGGCTCCTGGTTTAGTCTTGTCCTGAGTTATTGGTGTGGGCGAAAGCTCAGGGCTGAGGGCTCGGACAGAGGAGCCACTGCTGCAGACTGGGCTCTGCTGCTCCTTGGTACCCCAGAATGTGACTGTTCTATGTGGTAATGTGGTTTATAAATTGCATTAATGAGCATCCTGCGAGCATGTGGGTGTGTGAAATGCCAAAAACCTCCCTGATTCTGCACAAGTGGGCTGTTAGGAACCCGCAAACTTGGTTTCAAGTGCTAAGAAGGTAGGTACGTGAGGAAGAAGATTTGTGGTGTCCTCAGCAGGTAGTGTAAGCCTGGTGGCAGGTCTCCTACCACAGCTCATCACAGAACTCAGAATTACTTGGGTTTGACACAAAAAAACCCAGCAATGTTGGAAGATTTTTGTCTTCCAACGATGATGGGGAGGGTAGAGCTGAGATGAGGGAGGAGGGACCTGGGTGCCACATTTCGGGTCTGTGAGACAGAGGGCTGTGGTTTTCAGGGTGCCTCGAGATTTGAATTAGCTCAATACAGGCTTTTCCCACCCCTTTTTCTCTTGGCGTGCACCAGTTCCGTCCTGGTTTTAGTCCCACTCTCAGGACATCAGCACGGTGCCCCTGCCCTTGGACAGCTGTCAGAGCAGCTTCCACAGAAGGTCCCAAAAATAGCGAGTTTTCCAGATTTTTGTGAGAATACACCAGAAGATAAGGAACTCTAGTTATCCCTCTACTGAGGGGAAAAAGAGCTTTTATTAGAGACTGGCCAGTCCCCAGTAGGAAGAGGTGCTGGCTCCGTAAGCCCCGTCCCTGCAGGAGCTGGGCTGTCTGGTGTCCTCTTAATCTCCCTCCTGGCAGACGTGTGGTGTACAAGGCTCAACTGCCATGTTGGCTGCACGTTAGCAGCATCTGTTCCCTTTTGGGTTTTATTAAATGAAGTTTCCCTTGTTAAATTTGGGTTCAAAATCCCCAGCGTTGGAATTGTGCCTCTGAATAAGTGAAGCCAGACCCTGTGCTGACTTTCCGCCTTCCTCTTCTTCCCTGTGATTTATGGCAGAGTTGCTTTTGGGCTCTCTTCAGACCTGAACCTCCTTACAGTTCTGCTTGTCTGAACCTACTGCTCTGAAACAATTAAAAGACTTTAAAGAAAAACTGCAAGGAAATGGTGTTTTGCCCCAAGGAGGGCTCAGGAAAGAAGGAGGGTGTTGGTCATTTTTGCAAACTTCTGGTTTAGAAATTGCGAGGTGAAAATGCCCAGAATCACTGTAAAAGTGATTTCCTCCCATCCACTGGAAGGGAGGACAGCTCTGACCTCTCTCCATCTGACTGGGGGTTTGAAGGGGCCATGCTGCTGAAGTCTGTTCTCCTCCAACACATGCCCTTTTTGGTGTGTAACCCAAGACTAAAAGTCATCCAGAGCTCCCTGTCAGGCACACTCAGCCACGAGCTGAAGGACAGAAACTGAGGATCTGATTGTAAACGGGATTTAGGCATTTGAGGGGTTTAGCATTATTTTTTTTCCTGTTCATGTCCTTTAATTAAGATAAAACCTCTTCCATTGACTGTAAACTTTGGAAGTTTTGAGCATGTTTGCCTTCCTGGACTGATCTGAGGACAGTTACCTGAGATGTCTTGTGGTAGCTGAGCACTAAAGCTCAGAGCAGCCTGTGCTGTGTGTTTGTTGGGAGATGTGTCCCAGCAGGGTGGTGCTCTCTGGGGTGACCTGTGGTTGAGGTGGGGGTGATTCCCTGACCCAGGTGGAAATGCCTGTGGTGGGAAAACTGGTGAGTCCTGGGTTGGAGGTTCTGCTGCATGGTAGAAACATGCAGAACAACTCAACATGCCATCGTTAAAACTTGAGATGAAGCTCCAAGATGTGCTTGGAGGCAGTTTTTCCCAGGTAAAACCCTTCCCAGTCTTTCCTTCATCAAACTGCATTGGCCAGGAAGCAGTGTGAGCTTTAAGTTAAGAGAAAAACACCCCAGAGTAATTTCTTCAAGCAGCAAAATTTTTTTCTGCATGAATTTCTTGGTGTCTTAGAGCGTGGTTGTGTTCATTCTTCCTTGAGGATCCCCCAGTAAGGACACTTCCATGGAATAGCGACCTCTTTTCACTTTTTTTTTTTTTTTAAAGAAACTTCTCCTTGTGTTTTTTAGCCCTCTTTCAGATTTGGAGTTGGCCAGCCAATTCAGACATGATGGACTCAGAGAGAACCAGTGCTTTGTTCTGATGTGCAATCTGCTTGAATGCAGACTTCTTTAAAAATGATTTAGCAGTGACATTTGTTCTCAATTTCTCCTTTTTTATCCTCCCCAGGAGGTAATGTCGAGTGAAAGTTCAGCCTATGATGGGGAAAAACATTTTCCTTCTGACTTTGAGCTGGTTTGCCTGAGAAAAAGGCACATGCTCTTACTTACCATGGGCTGTGCTGGGGTTTATGTGGAACTGGAAACAGAAAAAGCTGCAGTGGCTGCAGATGGTGAACAGAGCATATGAGCTCTTATTTATGGAAAGCCCTGCCTTCATTAGCGTATTAGCATTTTTCTTCCCTAATTTGTGCCCTGTTTGGTTTGGGGGATGGGGATGTCGTGTTTGTGTGGCTGTTTGGGAGGGATGTGCTGTGCCAGTGCATCTCACGGTCCTCATAAACTCGAGGATTTTTTTCATTTAGAAGTTTCTTGGCTAGCCTTTATCATTTTAATCATGAATTAGCATAAGCTAATTAGCAAAGCTTTGCAGATGTTGGTTGTTGAAGAGGTCTGGCTTAGTCTGCGGTCTGCGGCGTGTCACTGTGAAGCCAGGGGAGGTTTGGATTGGATATTAGGAGAAATTTCTTTGTGGGAAGGGTTGTAAAGCGCTGGCACAGGCTGCCCGGGGCGGCGGTGCCGTCGCCATCCCTGGAAGAGTTTGAGAAGTGTGTGGATGTGGCACTTGGGGATGGATGAGGTTTAAGGTGAACGTGGTGGTGTTGGGCTGATGGTTGGACTTGATGATCACCACGGCCTTTTCCAACCTTTCCGGGTTGGGAAGCTGACGGAAGCTGCCCTGGGTGCTGTTCGCAGCCCGAGAACGCCGGGGGAGAGCTCAAGGATGGGCAGCACCACTACGAGGGGGCCGTGGTGATCCTGGACGCGGGGGCGCAGTACGGGAAGGTCATCGACCGGCGCGTCCGGGAGCTCTTCGTCCAGTCCGAGATCTTCCCGCTGGAGACGCCCGCCTTCGCCATCCGGGAGCAGGGATTTCGGTATGTCCTGCCCCCGAGCCCCCTGCTCCCTTCCCCTCCTACCCCGAGCCCCCTGCTCCCTTCCCTTCCCCTCCTGCCCCCGAGCCCCCTGCCACCTCCCCTCCCCTCCTGCCCCTGAGCCCCCTGCTCCCTTGTCCTGCCCCCGAGCCCCCTGCTCCCTTCCCCTCCTACCCCGAGCCCCCTGCTCCCTTCCCTTCCCCTCCTGCCCCCGAGCCCCCTGCCACCTCCCCTCCCCTCCTGCCCCTGAGCCCCCTGCCACCTCCCCTCCCATCCTGGCCCAACCCCCCTACTCCCTCCCTCCTTCCCCTCCTGTCCCCAAGCCCCTTGCTCCCTCCCTCCTTCCCCTCCCATCCTGCCCCAACCCTCCTTCTCCTCCCTCCTTCCCCTCCCTCCCTCCTTCCCCTCCCTCCCTCCTTCCCCTCCCTCCCTCCTTCCCCTCCCATGCTCAATGCCTGGTTGTTCCCCTGCAACACCTTTAACTGAGTGTTGTCACTGATTCCACCTGGGCTTGCCCACCTGAGATTTCCTGGGGACGCTCGTGCAGCGACAGAAATTTTGTGTATTTTCTTCTTGATGCCTTAATGCCATTTTAATCATTTTGGTTTCCAGGTGTAATTTAAGAGGTTGTGTTTTTAAATATGCATCTGCAAAAATCGAGGTGGTCTTGCTGTTTTGCCTGTTAAACTGTGGTAGCTGTTAATCAAGAAAACAAGTCTTGTGTGGTTCTAAAAATGATTTCCTTATTTAATCAAGAAAGCAAGTCTTGTGTGTTTCTAAAAATTATCTTCTTATTTAATTTATTTTTTTTAAATTAAACTAACTTACTCGGATACTGAAGACATTGTGGTAGATCATGCCAGACTGTTTCTGGGAAGCAACTGAAAAAAATAAACTAACTGAAACTGCCCCTTGTTGTTTGCAACAACAAAAAAAAAGGCCTCACAATTAATTAGTATTTTGTACATTTATTTGTCATGTTTTATTAGGCTTTCTAGGATGTGCATCTCTTCTGTGTGGGGAGAATAAATACCCTGAAGTCCACAAACCACCCAAGACCTTCCTTGTCAGTTTGATACAATCCAGACATATGGTGCACGTGTGCTTTTTGGTTGTGCCTGACAACAGATAAGACAGTGCTTTGCTGCAGAACTGCATTTTTCCAATCAATGATAATTAGTGAACCAGTAAACAGTATATTTTAGTAAGTCAAGTAGGAACTTATTGATCTCCCTTGAAAACACAGAGAACAGAAAACCCAGGAACTGCTGGATCTATCAGGCAGCTTTTGTGTCAAGGATTTCTTTCAGAAATGTTCTGAAAAACAGCTTTTCTTGTCAGATCTTGCTTATAATTCTCCAATGGTCAAGGCTTTAAAAGATGGACGTACTTAATAACTGGTTTGAAAGAATTCCTGCACCTCCTGTGTGTTGGATTTGAGGAGTGAGTCACAGCACTGGTGGTGTTTTGTCTCAGACCTGTGCTGTGCTGGTGCAGGTTTGTGCTGGGAAGAGCTTCTCCCTCCTTCCTTTAGCAGTTGAAGGTTCTTCAGGTTCCATGATTAGACCTGTGGGACTTGTCATTCCAAATAATTGCTCTCTGAAATGTGGCAGCAGCTCTTTGTTGAGAAGGTCACTCCCCAGGGTTGGGTGGTAGGTTTGGGTTATCAGGGCCCAGGCTGGTCGATAACTTTGTGTCCACAGAGTCAGTCAGCAAACACCAGTGCCAGATGTCAGTTGCCTTCATGCAGTGACCACTGAAAAAGTGAGTTTTTTGTTTCACTGCAAGGTTCTGATGCGTGTTCCACGTGCCCTGGGCATTGTCAGGGTCCCGTGTTGCAGCTCGTGCTCTGAACAGGCCGAGGAGCTGCTCTTTGGGCTGTGCTGAGGTTTGACACGGGCAGCAAGAGTTCTGCTAAAGTGTGTTCACATGTTGTGTTTGAAAAGCTCCTCAATTGCCATAGTGTCAGAACATTCTCCAGTGACAGGTGTCAGCTAAGTGTGACATGAACAGGAGCGTTTTCCACAGGATCCTGGTGCTGGGCTGGGAAGTGCCACAGGCTCAGTGGTTTTAGTCTGGATTCTGGCACTGACCTCTGGCAGGAGTCCTGAGGTTGGGGTATCAATGCACACATTTTACTCTTGGTTTTTTTATGTGGTTGCTGATGTGCCTTTAATCCATTGCAAATGGGTTTTCAGAGCTGGCTCAGGTTGTTTTGGAAGTGGCTTAGGGTGAACCAGAGAAAGACATATTCATACCAAGGCAGGAAGATATGCATGGAATTACATGGTACTGCAGTAAAACACTCAGGGTCTGCATCCTGTGCTGCTTTTAACTTCTCCTGGACAGTTGAGAAGATGCAGGTTCCTGTCTCCCCCCAGGATCATAATTTCTTTCTTTAATACTTGGATATATTGCATAACCTTTCTGTATCCTGGGAGATTTTAGTTGGTACGGAAAAAACCCAGATTTTTAAGACTCTACTTTTTGAGTACAACAGTGTATAACTATTTTGACTTCTCATAAGAATGTTCAGTTTTTAGGTGTGGCTGTATTCCTCTAATTCCTTCTTAGAACCCCAGGGAACAGCTGGAGCTCTGTCAGGGGAGGTTTAGGTTGGATGTTAGGCCAAGGTTCTTCCCCCAGAGGATGGTTGGGCACTGGAACCAACTCAGGATATTCTCTGGGTCTAGTTAATATTAAATAGTGTCCTGTACACAGGGCACTGAAGCAAATGCATCTGAAAATGGAGTTACTGGAAGCAGCAATACCGCCAAGCATGGAGGGTGTTCAGGCTTTTCCTTCCAGTGTTGGAGTTTAGGGAATCCATCGTGTCTCCAACTTGAGCAGAAGTGCCTGTGCATGTACAGCAGGGGTTGTCAGGATAGGTCAGTGTAAACCTGTCCCTGTGTTGGCTGTGTCCTTGTTCCAGAGCTCACCTGGAGGTCCCAGCATGCAGAGAAATAAATGCTGCCTCTTCCAGCTCCATCCCTCTCCTGCCTGGAACGAGGAGCCTGTGCTGGGGAGAGGGAGCTGGGCTGCAGGGAGATCCCCCCCCTGTGCCAGGGGGAGCAGGGGGCTGTGTGGCTGCAGGAGATCCCCCCTGTGCCAGGGGGAGCAGGGGGCTGTGTGGGTCCATGGGCTGGTTCCTCCAGGCCTGTGTCTGTTGGTGGTGCAGGTGTTGTGAGCACAGTGCCTGTTCCTGCTGCTCAGAACCAGAGACACTGGGTTTTGTCAGTGCTTGCATGACAGACTCTAACTAATGCTGGAAGAAAGCTTTATTGGATAGATTTAATCCCATTTATGCAACCTCTCTCTTGTTTGGTTTTGCATTTCTGGCTCTGAATAACGAGTTTGATGTTCTCTTGAAATAAACAGTCTGTGAGTCCAAGGTCTGGTCCAGCCCTGCTCAATCCCGGGCTGAGGCCAAAAGTGTTGCCCAACTGGTGCCTCTGCAGTTCAGGATCTTGCAAATCATTGTGTTTGTGAAAACTCTCTCTTCCCCTTTGAAAGGATTTGATTTTCTTTTACGGTGTGAAGTATTAACTTCAAACTGTACATGCTGACCTGTGTTGGACTTGTAATGCACAACCTGTTGCTAATGCCACCTCTGCATAATCAGAATGGAGTAAGGGACATTTTCTCAGCAGACTTAGAAATTTGGGAATGTGTTTTTTGACTGCAGCTCCCCTCCAGATGTCACAGACTTCATTAAGTATTTATATATATATATCTTTTCATGCTAATACTCTGCTTTGTCCCAGCCATCTTGCTGATGCTTGGCTATGAGGAATTTAAAATCCAGGCACTTTTTAAGATGGTTTATATTGGACTTTGCTTAAACTGAGGAAATACCTCCCTAGTAAGCTGGTGGGTGTGACAGCTATAGCATAGCAGAGCTACATGTTAGGGTATCTGTGTTAAAATATACATTATAATGTATAAAGTTGGAAGAGTGGTATGAGACAACGTCAATGTTTGAAGCAAGTGAAGAGGTTTTAAGTAAACAACATATTTGAGTTAATGTTTTCTTTGTTTTCTCTGCAGAGCTATCATCATATCTGGAGGACCAAACTCTGTGTATGCAGAAGATGCACCATGGTTTGACCCAGCCATCTTTACAATAGGAAAACCAGTGCTTGGAATCTGCTATGGAATGCAGGTGCTGTTGGGATAATCACAGAACCCTTAAGGCTGGAAAAGATCTCTGACATTGAGTCCAATCATTATATCTGTTTGTCCAGAACCATCTTCTGGGCCTTATTCTGTTATTAACTGAAGATGAAGTGCTAAAGGATCTGCTTTTCTAACAGAGGCAGTGCTACTTGGGCAGGATGCTTTTAAAGTCCCAACTTAGATACTTTTAATTGTTAAACTGAGGGTGTGTGTTCATCTCTTGGCTCTACCTTCTTGTATAAAGGCTTTAAGCTGAAGGAGGGCAGGTTTGGATTAGAGATTGGGAAGGAATCCTTCCCTGGGAGGGTGGGGAGGCCCTGGCACAGGTTGCCCAGAGAAGCTGTGGCTGCCCCATCCCTGGGAGTGTCCAAGGCCAGGTTGGAGCAACCCAGGACAGTGGAAGGTGTCCCTGCCCATGGCATGGAATGAGATGAGCCTTGAGGTCCCTTCCAACCAAAACCATTCCGTGATCAATAGCATAAGTAGTTTTGTTTTGAGTTCCACACTGCCCTTTTTTAGTCATAACAAATATAACCTGTGGGTCACTAATTGATTCTGTCCGGTTGGTATTGAAAAACGAACCCTCATGGAAACAAGGGAATTAGTGTTTCAAGCATGGAATGTTTTAGCCTTGTTCTTAAGAGTGTTTTACACTCCCCCACCCCCCAAAAAAGAAACAGCCCCACTTATTTCCCTGAGGACTCACTGGTGGTCCTGCAGTGGTCTGCACATCTAAGCTGAGCAAGGAATCACTCCCAAGGAGAAAAGGGCTGGATTAGATGAAGGCTGAGTATAAAGTGATACCAGATTGAGGGGTGCTTTCTCATGGAGTATTTTTGTTTTCCAGATGATGAATAAGGTGTTTGGAGGCACAGTGCACAAGAAGAGTGTGAGAGAAGATGGGGTGTTCAGCATTACCCTGGATAACACGTGTTCACTCTTCAGGTGCAGAGGCATTTTCAGTTACCAAAGCAATACTGGATATACCAGTCTGGGAAAGGGTGTGTGGATGAAAGGAACATTATTTTAAAGAAAATAGTGAAATTGCATCAATTTTTAGCTGATACTTTCTAATAAAACTTTTACAAGTGTGGTAACAAGTAAGCAGGTTACTCGTTGAAACAAATACTCAGGCAAATGTTTTCAAGAAATACAGAGGGGGATGTTGTGTAACCCCTTTATTTCAAAGTAGAAAGTCTTCATTGAGACCCTGTAAAATGTTCCATGACCTGGGAATATTTGTGTTAAGCTCTTGTCTCCTGCTGTGCAGTGCTTTTGTATTGGTTGGCACCCATCCAGTTCTGGAAAGGTCATAGAAAATCCCAAACCATTCACTTTCCACCTTCCTTTGAAATTGCTTTGTGATGTTTTTATAAAGCCAGAATTTGATTTCTTGGTAGTTTGTCGGTGCCTCTGAAGTTCCTTGTAAAAGTCTGACAGTTTACTTATACCTGGTATTCCAGTTTTAATAACTTTCCTCTGCTGGGCTCCTGCAGAACTTCATACCCTGCCTGAGGGTGCCCAAATTGTCCTGAAAACACGTAGTTTTGAAGAAGAAAAGTTCACTTTGTTGAAATAAAAAGCAGGACTCCTGGGATCCTGATTGACTCCAGATGGCTCCACATGTCCAAGAGGGAATGCTTCAATATTGGGATGTTTATAAGGAAAAAAACCCAAACCCTTCAGAATTAAGGTGAATTCCCTCTTGCATGAGAGGTATAGTGTACAAGAACTTCTGCAGCTTCCAAGGGAGACACCTTGGAGCTGGAAATGGCTGTTCCTGGGAGGGAAATCCTGCACATATTTCAAATGTCCTGGTCAAACAAGATGAGCTTTTCTTGTGATCCCTCAGGACTCCTCTTGGAAAGGCAGGGAGTTACTTCTTTGTTCTTTCTGGAGTTGATTCTAGTTTTTAATCTTTGTTTAGGGGCCTTCAGAAGGAAGAGCTTGTGCTCCTCACTCACGGCGACAGTGTGGATAAAGTAGCCGATGGATTCAAGGTGGTGGCACAGTCTGGGAACATTATAGCAGGTATTTATTTTCTCCTGGAATTGTCTTTTGGTAAGGTTTGTTAAAGGAAACAATAATGGCAGACAGAAGTTAGAACCAAATGGGAACAGAGTAGTCTCCTTTGTTATTTAATTGCCAAACAAGGGAATTGTTTTTAACAATTCCTTGTGTGTGTTTGCATGTTGTGCTGTCGTGGTAATAAAGAAATAGACTTTAAAAGGAGTGACCCTGATTGAAATGTGGTTTAAGTAAGAGTTAACATTATTTTCTAGAGTTTATGTTATTCTAAAGTGTGCATGTGTTGTTTCTCTCTGGGATAAAATATCCTGTGCCCTTAGGGCAGGGGTGATGGAGACGTGCTGTGGTGTGCAGTGAGTGGGGTTTGGGTTCTGCACTGTAATAGTGCAAGTCAAACGCTGTTTAATTAATTATTAAAGCTTGATTAACTTGTTATTTAATATTGCATGAATGTTCAAGTGAGCAAGAATAATGTAGGTACTGAAAGCAGGGTTTTAACATTGCACACAGATTGTCACAGAAAAATGTAGGACCTTAGAACTTGGGGTTTGAAAGTCACTGGAATTACTGAGTCCCAAAGAGCCCCCTCTGGAGCCTCTTTCCTTGGAGATAGGAGCCCTGGAGAGATCTTAAATGTGCTGAGCATTTAGTAAGATCTCACAATTTATTCATCTGGTTTATTTAAAATCTTTCATTGAAAAGATAAAAAGGCTGAAGATTAAGCTCCTAAATCAGACAGGGACACTTGGATGCAGCTGGGTCGGTGTGGCTTGGCTGCAGGGTTGGATGAGGTATCACATGAGGGGAAAAAGTAATATAATTTATTCCTGTTTTCACAGTGATTTTCCTGGGATGTCTCAGTGTTTTCCTTGGTTTCTGAGGGATTGTGTGTTCTAGATATATAAGAGTACCTTTGTTCCTAATCTTAGTGAGAATCTTTAGTTTTCACTGGTGACTTGTGCCAAAAGGTGGCAGAATAAATCACTGTATACACTGTGCCAGTACCTGCTTGACTTGGGTGTGCATTCACTGCCAATTTACTCATTTATTTCTGTTTTGTCACGCTCGTTTCCTTGCACCAATGAAGGCATAGCAAACGAATCCAAAAAACTGTATGGAGCACAGTTCCACCCCGAGGTGAGCCTCACAGTGAACGGGAAGATGATCCTGAAGAATTTTCTGTACGACATTGCGGGCTGCAGCGGCACCTTCACGGTGCAGAACAGGGAGCTGCAGTGCATCCAGGACATCAAGGACAGAGTGGGCTCCTCCAAGGTCCTGGTGAGTGCCTTGGCTCCAGGCTGAAAGATTTATTTGCAGAAGCACTGATAGTTGTCCAGATTAATTTGGAAAACGCAGAATTGTCATGATTTGGGTCGTACATTACCCAGGTTTTAGAAAAAATTGCACAGTTGGGCCGACGTGTCGTTTGGCTTCTTGTTTCCTTCCAAGTCACTGGCTGCAGGTCAGTGCTCTGCTCCCGTCCTCCCGGCCGTGTCTGAGTCGTGTGCTGACACTTTCCCCACAGACAGCTGCCCACATTTGAGGGTTTTTTTTCCCTTTTTCCCTGTTTTCCCTCCCGCCCAGGTGCTGCTCAGTGGCGGGGTGGACTCCACAGTGTGCACAGCCCTGCTGAACCGGGCCCTGAACCGCGAGCAGGTCATCGCCGTGCACATCGACAACGGCTTCATGCGCAAGAGGGAGAGCCAGTCCGTGGAGGAGGCCCTCAAAAAGCTGGGCATCCAAGTCAAAGGTACCTCAGCTCTGCTCAGTGTGCCCAGCACTGCCAGCAGCCTGGCTGTTCTCCCACAGAGCTGCATTCAGTGCTCTGGTTTTATTGAGCTGCTCTTCCCAGACCTTGCCTGCCAAAGCCGGGTTGGTCCTTTGGAGCCGCCTGGGCCTGTTACCAAAATTCAAACCTGAGGTGTTAAGCCTTAATTCATTTGATTGGAGTGCACAGTGAGCTGCCCCATCTCTGGAGTAGTTCAGATCTGGGACCTGCAGTTGGGGCACAGCAGAGCAGTGGGTTTGTGCCTCAGTCACTTCTCTGCTGATGGGTGAGGGACCCTGTTCAGCTGCTGCAAAACTCCCTGGATTTCCATTTTTACCAGTATCCTGGTTAACACTTGGGGCTTTATTTCTTGTCCGGGATCTCTTTCTTTGTAAACTGAGAGCTCATTTGGGTGATTGAATGCTATTATAGCCAGAATTACTTTTTCAGGGCATTTTTCCTTGCTTTTAAATAGGTGCATTTTGGTTGGTTTTGGAGTAGCTTGTTGAGAACAAGGTGGTGATTGGTCACAGGTTGGACTCAGTGATCTTGGAGGTCTTTTCCAACCTCAGTGATTCTGTGGTTCTATGAAGCAGTTCATTATGAGTGAGCAGAAAGTGCCTTGACACGGCCAATGAGAAGGTTCAGAGGGTTTTTTTTTCCCTCAAGTGTGAGGAGGTCAGAGAAGGCAAATTTTGTGCAAACAGCCAGAGCTGCTTTACACTGCCTGGCTGAGTAATTTAATGAGTAAGAGCTGCCTGTTCTGGTGCAGTGTGCGTTGTCAAGGGATCCTCCTGTGTTTTGGCCAGGAATTGTGGCACTAGGTGAGCAATGCTTTCCACTGCCTGGCCCTCAAATAGTGCAGCAAAGTCTGAGCTTTATTCTATACCCACATTTTTTAAATTTTTTTTTATTACTATTATTTTTACTTTTTTCTTTTTTAATGGAAAAATCCATGTCTTATTCTTGCAGTCTGTGGAGCAATAAACCTGGGCTCTGGCAGGCAGCCAGGGGAACAAATCGAGGGAATCCCTTTGCTGCAAGTGCTCCTTCTGTAGGTCAGGGAGTTCAGTGCTGGTAAAAGATGCCAGGGAGCCTCCCAGCTGATCTCTGGGTTGAGAGCCTCTCTAAATTAAGAGGCATAATGTAGCATGAATAAATAGTGCATCATTTAATTTTGGTTGCAGAAAGGCCTTGGGGAAACACTGTCCTGTAAACCATTTAAAGCAAGTAAATTATAATCTAAGAGGGGAAGCAACAACTGAGCTTTCAGTCACAATATGAAAAAATAACAGGTTAATAGGAGAAATAAAAGGCTTTTGTTACAACTAATTCTTGAGGTGTAGAACAGCCCTATTTAATGCAGTCAATAGTCAAAGGACCGGTATGATTTTTATTTTCCTTTTTTTAAAGCAGCAAAATAAAACTTATTTTTTTGCAACCTTGCCCACAAACCTTTACTGACTCTGTCAAAAACTCCCTGTGGTTTCCTGCAGTGGTGAATGCAGCTCATTCCTTCTATAATGGTACAACAACTCTGCCCATCTCGGATGAGGACAGAACTCCACGGAAGAGAATTAGCAAGACCTTAAATATGACCACAAGTCCTGAGGAAAAAAGAAAAATCATTGGTGACACCTTTGTGAAGGTAATGTTTTATTTTTTATTTGGTTGATTTTTATTTTTTTAAAAATAACGTGATTTCTGCATACACCTTTCCTGTCAGACTGTTTGATCAGTGCCATCAGTGCTCTTGTGTAGTCTGTGGATGACCTAAGGAGCCACAGGTAGGTTAGAGGGAGAATATTGAGCAGGCACTGATGTTCCTGTAGTCTGGAGGTATTTTTTCTATTTTCTGTGCAACAAAATAAGGGGTTATAGGACTATTTCAGCAGTGGGAGAGTGTCATAATTAGTCCTCCCGATTGTTTGTACTGTTCCAGCTCAGTATCATTGGCCAGGCAATCCATTATCTTCTTCAGACCTTGGACAGCCAAAAGTGGACTGCAGCTCTTTGCTTTATTTTCTCCCCATCCTACAGATTGCCAACGAGGTTATTGGAGAAATGAACCTGAAACCCGAAGAGGTTTTCCTGGCCCAGGGAACCCTCAGACCTGACCTCATTGAAAGCGCCTCCCTCGTGGCCAGTGGCAAAGCTGAGGTGATCAAAACCCACCACAACGACACGGAGCTGATCCGGAAGCTGCGGGAGGAGGTAGCGGGACGGGGGGCTCAGTGTCACAGACTGAACACTCTCTGCTTTGCTGCTGGGACTGTCCTGCACTGCTGGGACCCTGCTCTGATGAGGCCCTTGAGATTCTATTGTAATATACTGCAATTTATTACGCTTTTTTCCGAGTTGCTGCATTCCCAAAGTAGTCCAGATTTTTGGGTGTCGTCCAGCACTGGATACCCAGAAGGATGTCAGAGGGTTGAAGGGGTTCATGCAGTGTGAACAGTGATGTTCTCAGCTGCAACCCAAAAGCTGTTTCCTCACTCTTCCCTCTCAAACAAAGCCCTGTGTGGTGAGGAAGCAGGGCAGCACCAGTGCCTTCAGCAGCAGAGCAGTTTAGGCTTCTCGGGCAACTGGTTTAACTGGAATTTGTGGTGTAATGGGTCACTTTTTCCTTCTGTTGTCTCTCGTTCTGGACACAAGTCAACGAGTAATCTTTAGGTACTGATATTCCAGACCTGGCACATGATGGGTTCAGGCAAGAGCAATGACAGTGCTTTTAAGAAAGTGCTTAGAAAAAGATAATCAGCTCCTGCTGAGAGAGAAGAACAAAATTCTCCTTATCTTGAACCTCTTGTAACATTCAACCCTTCGAGCAAAGTATTCAAGAGAGAGAGAGAGAGAGAGGGAATGAGAAAAACATGTTTAAATGGGTTGGAATGTAGGGATGGTTCCTACAGGTACCTCCAGGGGTGAGTTCTTTTTGTTCCTATGCAGCTGCTGCCTCACATTTGTGGTAACCTGTTCAGAGATCTGCCAGCAGCACGCTGGTGGCACACACTGTCTTTGCCAGTTAGCAATTTAGGAACCCCAAGATCTTTCTGAAATGGCCCAAAGGGGACATCTGTGGCTGACAACCAGGAGCTAATTTGCTTTTTCTGGCATTAGTTCTCTAACTGTGTTACAAAATAGTCTAAGAAAGCACCAACCCATCACAGCCCTGGTGGAAGGTGCTCACTCATCAGTGAGTCTCACCCACAGGAGAGAACTCCTAATGACCCACACTTCTAATATCCAGCACTGCAGAACGAGTTTTCAAGGCTTTGGGGTCGGTTTGAACATCCAGCAGAGACAGGGAAGGTTTGAATTTGCACAGACAGAGCCAGTTTGACCTTACAGCTGTGTCTGGAGCCAGGGATACTTCTGGCACAAGCTGAAACTTCCTTGTCTCCCCCTCTGTCCTGCAGCTCTTTTCCAAAGCCCACACTGACATGGGATTTGTTTCCAGTGTTTATGGAATCCTTGGCACTGATGCTGTGAGGAGCAGGCCAGTGTGATTGCCATAACCTAAACACTTGAGGCTTTTTGTTTGAACTTGTGAGCTGGAGTGTAAATTGCCTTTTTTTTTGTTTTTGTTTTTAAGGGCAAAGTAATAGAACCACTGAAAGACTTTCACAAAGATGAAGTGAGAGTGCTGGGAAGAGAGCTTGGCCTTCCTGAAGAGCTGGTTTCCAGGCACCCCTTCCCAGGTATGGGAACTGGTCTGTGCTGTTAGTGCAGGGCTGTGGATCACACCAGTGTTGTTCAGCAGACGCTTAACTGCAGTGTGGTGGAGTATAAAACTGATCTCTAAACACAGAAAAGATCAATTTAGGTTTTTATGTCAATTTAGGTTTTTATTTTAGCAGGATCTTCTTTCAGGAAAAGATTTGAGAGCAGCTTAATAAATCTACTTAATAAAAGCAAACGTGTTGTAACTGAATTTGCCCTGAGCTGCAGTTGTTCTTTTCCAGCTGTAGCAGCCAAGCAGGGATTCCCAGTAAGTGCAGTGGGCACTGCCTGAGCTACCACGTGCCCATCCTACCTGGAGTAATGGCCTGGCTCTGCCTTTCCAAGGGGCATTTGCTGCTTTGAAAATGAAAGCCTGGAGACTAACACGAGCTCTCCACCAGGAAACATCCGAGTGGATAACACAGCCGAGTCCTTTCCAGAGGGGATGTTTCTCTGCCCGTGTGTTTGAGCACAGGGGCTGTGCTAATGCAGCACCATCCCAGGCAAGGCAAGGACCTGCCTTTTCCAGCTCATTGCACTCTTATATTAAGTAGCTAAAAGGTCAAACAGCCCTCAGGGGTCTTTAAAAGCAGTGGAGACTCCTCTGTGTGTTATACCCAGAGTTCTCAGTTGCCCAGCAAAGGGAGGGAGGAGGTTCCTGTTCATATTGGGTTTCCAGCCAGCAGTTCATCACCACAAACTGCTCCACTGCACCACCAGCACGTTCAAGCTGTAGGCAGTCAGTGCTTAAATGTAAATTGATGCTTAAATGTCCTGAACAGGAATGTCCTTCTGGAATAAAATGTGTGGGGGTTGGGTTTTTTTGTCTTGCAGGGTGTTAAGACAATTGAAGTGCAGGTACAACAGCAAAGTACACTGTACTCAGGCACTGACCCACTGTTCCACCTTTCTGGGTGAAAATCAGCTTCCTGTTATTCAGTATGATGTTTTTCCAATGCTGCTCTGCAGGTCCTGGTCTGGCAATCAGAGTGATCTGTGCTGAAGAACCTTATGTGTGCAAAGACTTCCCAGAGACAAACAACATCCTGAAAATAGTTGCGGATTTTTCTGCGAGTGTGAAGAAGGTCAGAGAACTTCACAGAGAACTGTGAATTTTAACGTGCACAGAAGTAGTGGGATTGTTCTGTAGTGGTCTGCAGTGAGGTTTAAACTGCTAAAAGGTCCAAATGACTACTTTGTGCTCTGTAGGGGATGATGTACAACTCACTTGAAGCGGTTCAGTGCAGTGGAATTTTACTGCCATGACTGCTGCAGGTGTTGAACAGTTTCTGCAAAGGGGAAGTTTATACACCCTTCAGATAGTAAACAAGTTTTGTTGTAGTTAAGCTTTGTGCAGATGAGGTTTCTGGAGATACCTCAAGTCACACAGTATTAGGAAAAGGTCTTCCCTCCCTGAAATGATTGCAACTTTTGGGGCTTGCACACCCAAGCTACCAGTGAATGTGTAGATGACAGTGCAGGAGTGAGGAACTGGTGCTTGCTGGGTGTCCTGGACCAAAACCTGGAGTTTTTAATTGGTGATGTTTAAATTCTACGTCTCTTAACTGTGATGACCTTTATGATTGCTCTAAGCTCACTCAGAGGTAAAAAGTCCTTAGCAGGGACCTGCTCTGAGGTGTAAGTTCAAAACAACTTCCCAAAGCTTTTTGTAAATCCTGAAGGGCTAATATTTACATCTGCTTTTCCTTTAAAAACCATTGTAGTGCCACAGAAATGAAAAGTGCAGCTTTGTGAAAGAGTGATCACAGGAAAAGAGCTTCCCCTGTGGCCTTGGAGAGCCTCAGCTTAAAGTACAGACTAATCAAAGAAAAGTGCTTTTGCTAATATTTAATTGTCAAATGAAAGGTATTTTTTAAAGTAGTTCCAAGGGGTAAATGTAGACTAAATTTAAACAAACAGCTACTTCAATAACATTTTTATTTGCACTGTGCAGGTTCTGTTTGAGGGCTTGGGAGCTTTATTTAACTAAAATGTATTTTTCTGCATCCTTGCACAGCCACACACTTTGCTGCAAAGGGTCAAGGCGTGTACAAGTGAAGAAGACCAGGAGAAGCTGATGCAGATTACAAGCCTACATTCACTGAATGCCTTCTTGCTACCAATCAAAACTGTGGGAGTGCAGGTAAAGGGAGGCATTCCAGGGATGGTCTGGGAGCTCCTTCCTGCTGGGATGGCAGGCTGTGGAGAAACATCATAATTGCTGCCTTGAGATGTGGGAATAAAGAGCTCGAGTCAAGGAGATAAACTCCAAATGGCTGTGAGAGCTTTGTCAGTGCTGGGGCAGTGCAGAGGTGTCAGGATACCTGACAAGTGCCAGGGCTTGGATTTGAGGGTATTATCCGGGTTCAGTGATGCTGGTCACTCACAGGCAGTTCCTGGTCACTCACAGGCAGTTTCTTCACAACATTCCCAGCCCCACTGACCTCTGCTGTCATCTGTTGTCCCTGATAAGACTCAGGAGTCTCAGACTATGTTGGTTAAAAATCCCTCCTTCCTGCATTTGCCCCTTCCTGTGCTTTTTTGAATTGCACTAATCCTGGCAAGGACCTGGAGCAGTGCAGGGAACACTGGGATCTGTGCAGCACCAGTGTTACCTCCCTTTTCCCTCCTCTGGGGACAGAAATCCAAACCAAGTGCTGAGCTGGCATTCCCGTGGAATTGTGTGCAATGACTTGGAGGATTTCTTTACTGAGCAGTCACAGCTGTAAAGAACCTTTCTCTGCAGTATCAGTATTGAATTACATATGTTTTATTATCACTGCTTAGTGTTGTGTGTGGCTTCTGTGGCTCTCTGCAGTCAGCTTTGGTTAGTGTTTGAAGCTGCAGTGTCATCAGATTTCTACACTTTGTCACAAAAATGCCAACACACAATCAATCCCTCTTCTCTGGTCGCTGTAGATGAATCTCCCCAGTCTGAATCTTTCCCTTTATATATGTATATCTTTATATCTATATGTTTCCGAAGTCTGAACTTTTCCTTTTATACACTGTTAGCTCTGTTACCTTGCTCTGTGTTTCCTCATCCCCTCAGCATCTCCCACCACACTGATTTCACCAACTTGGTGTCTGCTGAAACTTGGCCCAAAATATGGCCCCTGTCACCTGCAGGGTGAAGGGGAAAGTCTTGTGAGTGATTTTGGCAGCCCAGTTGCCATCCAGTCATGGCTGTTTGTGCCTTGCAGGGTGACTGCCGCTCCTACAGCTACGTCTGTGGCATCTCCAGCAAAGATGCTCCACACTGGGAGTCCCTGATGTTTCTTGCTAGGCTCATCCCACGCATGTGCCACAACATAAACAGGTAAGGATCGAATTATCTTTATTTCTAATGAGCTAATTAATGTATGGAAGTTTAGCATGCACAAACGTTTTCCTCTGTGGGGTACAATTTTTTATGTGTTGGGCCAGTGTATCATACAGAGGTTATAAATACACAACAAATCAAAATACAGATTTATTTCTAGCTTGAAAAGAAACTGATAGCCTACCAGCCTACCTCCTCATTTTTCAGAGCACTTGATTAGACAACATCCAACATAACTTATGCAAATCTCTTCTGCAAGGCTCCAGCCTGCTGATGAGCTGTGCTGTCCTGCAGTCTGGTTTTGCTGTGTGTCAAAAAGGGATTTACATGGGGATGTCAGTTCTAATGGCACAAGGAGAGCTCCAAAGCTGGGCAGTTTGATCTTAATTGAGCTCTCTGTGAGGATACATTTTCTACCTACTTGATTCCATAACTTTTCCCAGCAGCTGACGTTGCTTAGACATTAAATCAACTCTGGAGAATCACATCCTCCTTGCCTGGCTGGGGGATTTCTGGTGAAACTGCTTCTAATTGCTTATAGCAAACCTTAATTTTCTCACAGAAGTGACACCTACTGACAGAGCTATTATCCTGGAAGGTGAGACCTGGAATTGCAAGATAATTGGTTAAATTAAACGCAGAGGGGACAAAAGAAGGTATAAATCAGGATTGCCTGTGCAGTTTCAGTGTGTGCTGGCTTCACAGCATTACTGACTTCTTTAGGCTCTTCTGGATTTCATGGTGCCCCCCTGAGCCTCCCCCAGCTCTGGGGGCTGTGCTCTCCCAGGGGGTGTTTGCAGACTCTGCTGCTGTTTGCAGGGACAGGGAGACTGGCAGCCAGGAGGGCACTGGAATAGTTGGTCTCCTGCCCAGCTGTGCTTGCAGGCTTTGTGCTGCAAACAAAAATATACAGTCTGAACTCGCATATTTTTCTACTTTGGATTTTAGACAAGTATTCTTGGTTTGTATGCACAAAGTCAAATAACTGGTGTGTCCTGGTGGGTCCGTGTCCGAGGCACTCAGACGTGTCACACTCTGCTCTGGCTCTGCAGGGAGGGGAACAGGGGAAAGCTGATGTGGCTGGTTTGAATTCAGAAGATATTTTATCACAGATGTAATTATGCAGATTTATAAATTGCAGTGTTAGTGCCCTGTGCTGAACACACAGCTCTTCATTGACAACAAGGTTTAGTATTTAATGGGGGTTTTGCTGGGTTCCTGTTAGAAACTGTAAGCAAAATAAAATATGCTGCTTCCTCGTTCTGTTTTCTCACTGTGACGCTAAGGATGCAGTCTGGAGGCAATTTGTTTTATTCTGTGAATGTAAAATGTGGTTTTTTTCCCCCCCCTCTGTTGCAGAGTTGTGTATGTGTTTGGCCCCCCGGTCAAAGAGCCCCCCACAGATGTCACCCCCACTTTCCTGACCACAGGAGTCCTCAGCACTTTACGTCAAGCTGACTTTGAGGCTCACAACATTCTCAGGGAGTCTGGTAGGTGCTCCACCTTATCCCATGGGTCAGGTCCCTGCAAACCTAATGGGAATAGTTACAGGGGTACTGTCAAAATCTATAACCTTCCCAAATACCTGCAGAGAAGGTGGTCAACTAAGGGGATGACAGGCTCTTGTGAAAGTTGTAGAAGCTGATAGCTAAAGGACAGGAATTAATTGTAGGGGATTTTGGGGAACTGAGGCTTACCTCTGACGTGCCATGTGGTGCTGTGGTGCTTCACTGCACTGCCAACTTGTGCAAAAAGTACTGTCAGCCAGCTGGAAGTCAGCAAAGTTCCTTCTCTCTGCTGATCTCAGTCCTCAGGATTTACCTGAAGTAAAGAAACTTGGCAGAGTTTTTAAACAGTGGTTTTTTTGTGGTAAGAAGGGAGCCCAAATACCAAGTTTCCAATGGTGCTGATGCTCCTGCCTGCCTGTGGTGCTTTCCTGTTCCTTAACTTGAAGTGAAAGCTGTGTTTGTCAACCCAAACCCTGCACTCCCAGGGAGTCTTCAGTTCCCTGGGTATGGTGCACAGCCAGTCTGGGAATGAAGAATTCTGAGGTTCAGTTTTATGTTTTTAATCACCTTTGGAGATGTGATCTGTGTGGGAAGCACTGCCTCAGACTTGCCTATATTTTGTATAAATCAAGTTACAGCAGATACCTCTTCTTGAGAATCCATGTTCAGTTTGCAGAGCAGTCTGAACAGGATTTGTACAAAATTACCCTCAGAAGGCTGTGGATAACACTGTTGGTTGTGTTGGTAAAACTGTGGCTGTGTCTTGCTAACTTTTGGTGACACTTGGCTTTGTGTGAATGAATCGCTCCTAAAAATAAGACTGGAGTTCTGATTTAGTGGAAAAACCTCCTTGTGCCAGCAGCTGAGGCCAGGGCTGGCAGAGGGGGGGAGCCTGAGCACTGTGAGCTGCAACACACCTCCATATCAGACTTTTAGATCATTGAAACAGGGAAATTAGGGATCTGTGTATTGGCCTTCAGAAGGAGATAATTTAGAAAGAAGTAAGTGAGAGATGATTGTCTGGGGTTACCTGTCAGCCACCAGCCATGGGGATACTGGAGAGCTTTCTCTTGAATTGTTCAAAAAGACTATTCAAAGAGTATTTCAAAGGCATATTTGTGAATGGCTCTTTATTGGGCTTGGTATATTGGGGTTGATAAAACCCCATGGCTGTGCTATGTGGGAAGGAAAGTGGATCTTCAGTTGATTCACAGCAAATTACAGGGATAACAGATTATCTGGGATTTTTGGGCATGCCTGCAATGGTTGAGGATCATCTCAAGTGGCAATTTATAGAATCATAGAAAGGTTTGGGTTGGGAGGGACCTCAAAGCCCACCCAGTCCCACCCCCTGCCATGGGCAGGGACACCTTCCACTGGCCCAGGTTGCTCCAAGCCCCGTCCAACCTGGCCTTGGACACTCCCAGGGCTGGGGCAGCCACAGCTTCTCTGGGCAACCTGTGCCAGGGCCTCCCCAGTGCCTCCAGTGCTGATTTGAGTAGCTGTGGTGGTGCCAGAGCAGCAGGGAGAAGATCCCAAGAGGTGTAAGTGCAGCTGCTGGTGTAGAATTTGAAGCCCAGGTGGGGATTCTGTCCAGCCTGGTGTCTGCAACCCAAATTAATGCCCTTTGCACGACCCTTCCCTGAAGGTTACGCCGGAAAAATCAGCCAGATGCCGATAATCCTGACCCCACTGCACTTCGACCGGGACCCCCTGCAGAAGCAGCCCTCCTGCCAGAGGTCTGTGGTCATCAGGCCCTTCATCACCAGTGACTTCATGACTGGCATCGCAGCCACCCCTGGCAACGAGGTCCCAGAGGAGGTAACGTGGCCTTCAGGCTCCTCTTCACCGGGAGCTTGTGTTGCAGAGGGCTCGTTTCCACCTTCCTCTCTCTCTCTGGGTTACCTGGACTTTGATTTCCTTGCTGTTTTTTCTCTTTCATAATATTCCTTAGCCGGAATATCGTGGTGGTTTGGGGAAAACTAACAAAATGAGGAGCTGGCAGATGGGTGTGACAAACTTAAAAGGCTTTCCAGCAGAGCTGAGCCAAAATGCCACCAAGAAAAGAAAGGAACACCCAGCCATTCCTGGGGTTTTGGAATTAATTTTTGCATTAGTAACTGGAAATAATTACGTCATGAATTGCCCTTGATTGACACTTCTGGTTTTAACATCTCGGTGTCCTGTTTGCTCTTTAGGTCACTAAAAGGATTTAGGAGTCAGGTTCAGGTGCTTTTTTCTGGAAAACTATCCATATCCAGTTTCAGGTACTTTGGTAACACAGAGCAGAGCGTGTTCCTGCTGAACTGTAATAAACAGCTCTGGAGCTGAAGAGCTGCTGCCTTGAGGGACGTGCTTTGTGATCCACAGCCTGGTTTAGTCTGTGCCAAAAGTCAGCAAGTCCCAAATGTACCTGCAGATACCATGAGCCAGAGGTGTTGGTTCAGTTGATTGTTAATTGGTGTCCATGTGCTGATGGCAGGAGGCTCTTCCTCCTTTGTGTCTGACAGGATCAGTGTGAGCAGTTTTCCTTTAAAAAAGATAATTTTCTCAGATAATTTTCTTCAGTTTTGTTTCACACCCTTCTTTTCTGATATTCTTTTTCCCCTCCACAACAGGTTGTGTTGAAAATGGTGGCAGAGATCAAGAAGATTCCTGGCATTTCTCGGGTGATGTATGACTTGACATCAAAGCCACCAGGAACTACGGAGTGGGAGTAATTAACTCTTTTTCTATCCAAGTACTGTGTGCAGTCTAAACCATATCAGAAACCATTCCCAGTGTTGACATGCAGTACTGTGAAAGAGTGACTGGAGCTGCTACATCGCATCAGATTCCTCTCCTGGAGCATAATCCTGCAGTTCAGAGCTGTGCTGGGGATGATCCCGCCGTGGGGTGAGGATTGTACGGGTAAAGAACCGTGGCAGCACTGCCGGGCACACACAGGTCCCTCCTGCTTCTGCCTTTGTCTTACAGTTCTCCCCGTTCTCATGGGTTTTACTGTCATTTCGGTGTCTCTTTGTTTTTTGTACACTGTGTAAAAAGAGACAGTTTATTTACTTCTACCAAAAGCATTGTTCCAGCCTAAACGTGTAAAAGGAATCCTTTGTGACCAACTGCTTTCGGACGGATTTATTATAAATAAATATTTTGCCAAATGGAGTAGTGGGCACTGTCGAGTTGTGCAGTTACTGTGTATGTTGTGTACTGTTAACTTGTTCTATATTGTTTGACTCTTGGCCCATGGCAATAATGTTGAGCAAGGCTGAAATCTCCTGCCATCCCCTCTGTCCGTGTGTCTGTCCTGGCCCGGCAGGTGAGTGTGTGCTGACACGCTGCCTGTGTGTGTGCCCGTGGCAAACTGCAGGCAGGGCAGGATCCCTGGGTGCTCTGGGGATGGATAGAAGTGTCACACTGGGAGTGCAGCTGGCACAGCTGTTGCACCAGAGCTGCTGGATCTGAGAGCCCTGTTTGCCCCCTCGCCGCTCCTGCTGCCCCCTGTGCTTTCCTGGGACTCGGTGACAGTTTATTTTCTGCACATTTGCTTTTACAGGAGTTTTTTGGGGTATGTATTGTGCTTTGCTTGATCTGTGAGGTCATTCTAGTCATTAGTGTGAAGCCCTGGGGTCGGGGCTGACTTCCCAACCCGTGTAGATCCTCCTGTCACTCGTGTTCTGCTGTTTGTAGTGAAGCAATAATTGGAGAGATGGATACTTTGGATGTGGAGTTTTTCTGATGGTTTAAGGCAAAGCCATTTCCATCCACCTGAGAATCCTGAGCATGTCCTGTGCCAGGAACAGTTCGATTCTGACCTGAGCAGGTTGCTGGGTGCCTGCCGGTACCTCCCCGGGAGAACTGGAATGTGTATCCAGGCTCATCCCTCTTATCCCTGGTTTTCTGGTTTAGCAGTTGTTCTGTTCAGCTGCAAGTTCACCATAGTGTTATGGGGTAAAATACTTGGTTTAAACTGTTCAGTAACATGGAGTATTTCATGGCTGTAGCTACTTCTCTCTCCCCTTGCCTGGATTTGTGAACTGGAATAATGTTGGAAGTGTTTGTTCTATATTTTTGGTTGCACACATTTTCCTGTTCTTACATTCACTGCCTACACATTTATGGAAATTGGGTTTAACTTCTGCTCATAGGAAATGGCCAACTGGTGTAAATGTTTTCTTTTGCCTGTGTCAGGGGTGGTTTTTCACGAGGGGGAGGATCTGGTGTGTTCCAGCCCTCAGCTCCGGGGGCTGATGGGGACACGGGGATGCAGGAGGGCAGCACACCAGTGGCTGGTGTAATGTGGAGTTGGGACCTGCCTCCCCCTCCAGCCCTGCTCCTGGAGGGCTTTGCAGCCTGGGCACATTGAGTTTAGTCTGTCTCAGTTGTCTCCTTTAGAACAGGGAGTGGTGACTTGCACCAGTCACAGTCTCCCGGAGCCCTTTGGATGAGCTTTTTGTGGTGTCAGTGATTGCCAATCCAAATGTTCCTTTGCTGCAGGAAGGTGATTTGTGGGAGCTCTTGGTTAAACCCTGCACGTGGAGTTTGCTGGGGCAGAACCTGGCCTAGCAGGGTCCTGGGAAAACAAGCTGGTCTCAGAGGAGAGCTCCCCAAGGAAGGTACAGCTTCAGAGTGCACTTCATTTCTGGTCAGGGAAGGAAAGGCTCAGGACAGCTGTTGTCAGTCCTGGGTGGTGTCTCCGCTCCACGGAGTGCAAGGAGTGAAGCCTTTTGGAGTGGTGCAGAAATCCCTGAGCCTTCCCTGCTCCCCCAGCTCTCCCTGTGCGCAGGCTCGGCCCCGCTGCTGCCACAGCTCGTGTTGCCTTGACAGCAAACAGGCAAAGCTGGAGGAGTCACTAAAAATAATGCAAATAGCGCAGAGCCCCTTGAAAAACAAACCCCCCTCAGGTTTGGCCAAGACACCAGCTCTCTGTGTAGATGGACCTGCAGTCTGTAGTGCCATAGTTCTGATGTAACTCGGGATAAAACCCTCGTGGTGGTGGTTGGGGGTCACAGGAGTGGTTGTACCTCTGCCCACACAGCTGCAGCACACCTGGGCAGCAATCCCTTCCTTACTGCATGCTGCACACTTGGAAAAGTCCTCCTTGGAGTTGCATCTTAACTACAGGCACGATGTCTCCCTGTGTCCTGAAGTCTGCCATGCACTCATCCCATCCTTTAATGCCCTGGGCTGCATTCCTGCAGCTGGACAGCAGTCCTGTGTTCTTCTCTTTAAGCCAGAAAGTTGACTATTGAAAATGTTAGGCATAAACTATTGCACTATGAATCCAAATGTCTTATGGAAATGGGATTTGTGCCCCTTAGCTGTCTCCCCCGTTTGACACCTGTGCCATGCGTTGTAGCCGTGGTGGGTTGTTCTTGGCAAGGTTGGTGTGATCATCCCGGCGGTTCTTGGGTGTTTCTGTGGAATCCACGTGTACTGGACAGCCACAAGTGGAGAGAAACATCATACTCTGTTCACATTTCTTTAAAAAAAAAATATATATATTTAGCACCTAGTTTACAAACTAATACCTGTAGCTGCCCTGTACAATTGTTCACCTCGAGTCTTCAGTAAAACATGTCAGCAGTTAGAGGAATTTGTATTGGGGGCGTTCCCCATCAGTCTCAATTTTTAACATTTTTCTGCTTGTGAAATGATAAAAGTACTGTGAGCCTTAATTTTTATCCACAAATAAAAATATTATGTTTGAACCTTGGTGTGACTTTTTTTTTTCAAGGTCTTACATGTAGAAACTATATTATAAATATAGTTTGTACATGTACATGATAAATGGGAGTGTATTTTGGGTTGAAAAAGCTGATTTTTTGGATGTAATTGATTTAAATGTGTGATCAAGAGCCCTGTTAGAACTGGGATGTTTTTCTTGTGGATCCTTCCCCTGAGGGGGTTAAGGTACAAAGGTCAATATAAAGCTGCTCGCAGGGTTTTTTCCTGGTTTAAATGTTTTTTATGGTGAAAAAAACATGGCAAACTGTTCTGGAGTAAGTGTAAGCTTTGTGGACAGCCAAGTTGGAATTGCATGTTAATTAAGAGAAGTGTTAATTAAAGAGGAGAGTTTCTGCTCCTTGCAGGGGCAGGAGGCAGGTGCTGGAGCTGAGGGTCTGTGCTGGGGTGGGCTGGGGACCATCCGTGTCCTGCTGCTCCGGGGGGCCCAGGCTCACCCCCCTCAGCAGGAGGTGTCTGCCCAGGTCCCTGTGCCCACACTTCCCTTGATGAAGCAGCAGGAATAATTCAGGGCTGCCATCCATAATTCATGGCTCTGACACCTGACCATGGGCTCTCAGACCGGGACCCGGAGCCCTGGTGCTGCTGTGCCTGCTCTGGAAACCTGGGATGCTGCTGGAAAAGGGGAGCTCAGCCCCCTGGGCTCCTGCTCCCACAGCTCTGCCCGTGGTGGCCCTCGGTGCTGTCAAGTTTGGGGCCAGGATTGATGTTCCTGAGCAGCTTTTATCCCTTGGGATCACTTCCAGGTGCACCCTGAGCATCCAGTGCTGCTCTGGCATTTTGCTCCCTGGGCTCCTTTGGTCATAGTTTGGGCAAGGTGTGACCTGGGACAGGGTGCTCAGCTTCTTTTGTGCCTGGAGCTCGCCCAGCTCTCCAAGTTTCTCGGTGTGAAGGCGAGATGCTGCTCAGGACATGGGGAATGCAGTGGGGATCAGTTGGATTTTGGGGTTTTTAAAGGAAAAAGGAGGTTTCCTGGCTGACCACAAGTCCCAGAGGCTCTGGAGCAATGCCCACCTCTCCTGTGCAGCTCTGGGCACTCCCAGTGGCACAGGGGCCTGGAGCTGAGGGAAATGCTCTACCTGTGCAGGGGGAGCTGGATTTTGGAGGGGATGGGTGGGGGAGCAGGGACCCAGCACCACCCCCCCCCCGGGTTTGGGGATGGTTGAGTCAGGGCTGGGATTTGGGATGATCTTTGTGCTGTGCAGAGCTGGGGTTTATTTTTAGTCCCTTCTGTGGTGCTGATTGCCATGGCAATGCCACGGCACCGCCGGCGCTCCCAGGGATGGGCTGGTGGTGCTGCTCCAGGACCAGGGGACAGGGACAGGGCTCCTGGCAATGGTTTTGGGGGAGAGTGGCAGCTCAGTGTCCCCTGTCTGGTCCATGATTTAGATTCAGCTCACAGCCAGAGCAGGGGCTCGCTGCCTGCCCCAGCTGGGCTCCCCACCTCTGGAAGACACAATCCTCCAGGCACAGGAGCCTGTCCAGGAACTGCATCCTGGGAGCATTAACTGCTCAGCACCTGGTCAGCTAAGGCAGCTCAGCCTTTTGGTCTGAAATTCGTGCAGAAAAGCAGAGAACAGGGTGGGTGCTCCTGCACCTTCTCGTGCTGTTTGAGAAGGGTCAGGGATCATCAGGCTCCAGGGCTGGGGCTGTGTCCCAGGGCAGAGCTGGGCACAGCCTCCCTCAGCCCCTGCCCAGCACAGCCACGTGCCTCCAGAGAGGTCTCAGTGTCTGGATTCCCCTTGACCTTGGAAAACGTTCCCCTTCCTAATCACGGGGTGCTCGGTCACCAGTTGGTGCAACCCAGAGCAAACCCAGCGGAGCAGCTCGTCAGTGACCTCACTGACCCCAGCAAAGAGGAAAAAAAGAGGTAATTAACATACCCAGGAATTTTTCTCTTCACTTGGGTGTGCTGGGACTGGCCTTTGGCCCCACAGTCACATCTAGAAATTATTGGAGCCGATCAAAGGCTGGAGAGAGCCACTTCCATCAGTTCTAATTTCAGCAGATTGACTCTCTCGAGCTGCCTGTGACCCGCTGCCCCCTGAGCTCCCACATCCCTCATGCCCTTCAGGGAGGCAGCTGGGAGCTCTCTGCCGTTGGGATTTGGGTTAACAGGTGGGCTCAGTGATCTTACAGGTCTTTTCCAACCTGGACACTTCCATGATTCCACGCTGTGGGACAGAATCATGGGGTCAGGTTTGCTGGGGATGCCCAGGCACAAAGCCAGTGGCTGCTGGCTGAGCAGCAGTTCATAAGTCACTGCATTTAAGCGCTGTCAGAGCAGGGTGAACCACTTAGGCCCAATTAAGTGCCTTAATGAAGCTTTCCCTGATGGGGTTTCAATTACATGGAGCAGAGAGTGTGGAACAGCAGAGCTGTGAGCCTCCCAGCTAATTGAATGAGGATTTGGGAATGACTGTGCTCCTGTGGGACCAAACATGTATGTTTGCTTAGGTATCGCTTACAGAAGCTTTCCAAATAGTCTGGACCTGTGCAAGGTGATGTTTGTCTGTTTAAATCTCTCTAACCAGGTTGGTGACTGCTGCTCTTTGCCTGGCTGGGACGAGCTGTGTCCGTGTGTGCAGAGGTCTGGGGTGTGCAGGTACAGAGCTGAGAGAATGTGGGGAACAGATACTGAGAGGCTACTGTGGAATCTGAAGAGCTGGGGTGGGTTTTGAGATCAGTTTGAAAGGAGATGGACTGTAAATGTGTCTCAGAATTACTGGAGAATTGCTGGATCAGACTGTGCATCCTGCATTCCTTTAGTCTGGAATGAAGGTGATCACCTGGAGAAGAGAAGGCTCCAGGGAGAGCTGAGAGCCCCTTGCAGGGCCTGAAGGGGCTCCAGGAGAGCTGGAGAGGGACTGGGGACAAGGGATGGAGGGACAGGACAAGGGGGAATGGCTTCCCACTGCCAGAGGGCAGGGCTAGATGGGATATTGGGAAGGAATTCCTGTCTGTGAGGGTGGGGAGGCTCTGGCACAGGTTGCCCAGAGAAGCTGTGGCTGCCTCTGGATCCCTGGAAGTGTCCAAGGCCAGGTTGGACGGGGCTTGGAGCAACCTGGGACAGTGGAAGGTGTCCCAGCCCATGGCAGGGGGTGGGACTGGATGGCCTTTAGGGCCCCTCCCGACCCAAAGTATCCTATCAAACTAAATTTGTGGTGAAGATAATCAGGACGGACCTGCCACATGTAACACTGTGGGGTTCTGTTGGGGTTTTGTTGGCCAGCATGGAGGTGTCACTGGAATGGCACATAATGATGGAAAACTGCTCATGAGATTTTAAAACCAGGTTAAAAATGGGCCCTGTGTGCAGTGCATTAACTCCCCGAGGTGACCTCCTGCTTTCCTGAGCAGAAAACATCTGCTGCAGGGTTTTTAGAAGCACTCCTCTTATTTACATCTGAAAAACAGGAGGTCTGACTAAAAGAGTGCCTGAGCCAGAGTATTAATCCTGAGCTCTCATCCTGGGGGATTCTGTGCTGGGTGTTACTGGAATGTTCTGCTCTAAAAGCAGTGGCACAAACAGTGTTGTGGGGGTTTTAATGCTGTCCTGTCCCTCTGCACCCCTGGGTGTTGCTGTACCCTGGGCTTTACCCTGGGCAGAGGGAGATTAACCCACAAGGAGGGTCTGGGGGGGCCACACCGGGCTGGGGACCCCCGGGACCTGCTGTGCTGGGGTGGGCACAGGGAGACTCCTTGGCAGGAGATGATTTCCATATCGTGTGCCCAACTCTAGGGACCATGGCTGGAATGAAAATCAGATTTTAGGAAGCGTTTTAAGAAGAGCCAGAGAAATTTTTCAAAGCCTGGCATAATTTATTAATAAATAGAAGTTCTGTCATATTGTATAATTAATGTAATAATCAGTTATAACTCGTAGTAACTCTGACACTGACACTGTTCCCGGTGGGATGTTGGTCAGTCGGTCCCGAAGCAGGAGGGGGTTTTGGCAGGGGGAGCAGAGGGTTTGTCCCCCCCGGGAGATGCCCCACAGCCCCCTGGATGCCCAGGGTGCCCAGGCACAGGGGCTCTGATCCCAGCACAGCCGCTATCAATATTTCAGGGCAGCTGGGCGGCTTTGCTTTCAGGAAACCAATCGTTCTGCAATTTTTATAAGGTGAGCCGGGGTGTCCTTACCTGCCGGGAGATACAATCACCTGCAGGCACTATCCGATGGCGTTACCTGCCTAAGTGACACATTAGGGAACATCCACCCGCACAATAGCCCGTGATAGGCCCAACAATGGCCCATTGAGACAGAGACAAATCGCCAACAGCTGCTTTAGTTTAATTGACCTTTAAGGTGACTGATACCTTTTAAAGTCTTGGGGAACAACAGGGTGTTTCTGTGGTTAAGGGAATGATAAACACGTGATGCTGAGGAAGCACAATGTGCCTTTTATACAGCTCTTTAAGAGCTTCATCTCGCTTTTGATAACCAACTTCCACATGGAAGGACCCGAAGAATCTTCAGCTTGTGTACCCATAAAATAAGTATGTATTGCTTCTCTGCTCAGGGTTGCCTTAAAGGCTTCTGGAGTTGCTGGAAACCTTTTCCTTTTTGGGAGAGGCTATGAAAGTGTAAGGACAAATGAGGAAACACATTGGAATAGGCACAGAACTGGAAAGTTTTAACAGCTCAAAGTTTGAGTCATTTTACTGGAGTTTTGCAAAACTTCCAACGAGTGTTTTGGTGCCACCTCTGCTAAACAGTTCAGACAACACCAGCTCCTGTCGGAAGCCACAGGCCTCCAGAGCTCCCTTTTCCCTGATTCCATGAATCCTTCCACCCAGCCCCCATCCCCAGGAGACCCGTGCAGGGCACAGGTGAGTGATTGCTCTGCTTGGGGATGATTACAAAGCTTTTGAGTGCAATGGCTTTAAAATCCTGCCTGTCTTAGAGGGGTTTTTCCTCTTTGCCGGCTCTCTCCCAAAGTGGCTGCTGTGATTAGAGCTGTAA